ACTTAGGAAAAAGGGGTTGAGCAGTAGGCTGAAAATCACCCTAAAGGAAACTTATCCTGAAGAAAAGTTGCAGGCAAGCCACCTTTTTTTTTCAAGTTTTTATCCTTATGTATATCAGAACCCAGCTTTTCACCCCTTCCTCAATTAACAGATTGCATTTGGCAGAAAACCATGATCCTTAATCTTTCTAGTTGTGTATGTGTTGCCCTATCACTCTGCAGATATTCCTGTCTAGAGTACTGGCCAGATCATCCGTCAATGAAGAAGGATCAGCACCCTTTGGGACACTAATCATGACCCACATGGAAAGAGGAATATTTTGAATAGGCTATCTATAGTCAGCTCCTGCACAGGATCCATACTCATTCATTACATGTCTGGAGTTTTATGTCCCAGCAGAATCCTTTCCAACTGACATTCATAAGTGCTACAGTAGGTGTCTGGCTCTCAGGCTCATCTCCCATGAGATAACTTACCATTGAGGGACTTATCAAGTTAGGGCATAAGCCTCTGACAACAGAGGAAGCTACAGCAATGGTGATGGGAGCTTTTTACCTCTTTTCAAAGTATCCAGTTTCATGGATCTGAAGCTGGTTTTAATGATCTTCATGGAGGAGTAGCAAAGGAGGAGCCCTGACCACATACCTCTACAGAGTGAGTAGAAGCTCTTTCAGGTCAATATTGATATTCGCTCATGTACATGTATACATAAGGCAACACACTAGGGGAATGTGGGTCTAAGCATCCCAAAGGTCTTAATGAGCTGAGCACCTTTCAAGTCCATTGTTGCAATAGCTGTAGTGAGTGATCCAAAAGCTTAGGACTACGTAGCTGTAGTCTTAGGGTGCAGTGCTCCAACAGGTGCATAAACTTGTGGCTAGGAGTTTTTGCTGAGTTCCAAGCACCATCTGTCATGACTCTGTAATATGGTTGATATGCTGATGGTCATGGAGCCCACAAGGGACTCCTTGCAGGTGCCTTGTCTACATCTAGCAACTTGAGCAATGAAAGGTGGAGGCTTGGGCTTTGTGCTGTGCTCATCTGCATGGTCTAGCTAGTACACCATTAACTTACCACTGTCTAAACAACACCCTGCAGTGTGCATGGGCTAGGATGGGTGAATGGCTGATCCTAAGGAGTCTGGCAGCATGGCTAAAGGTTGTCATGCCATTTACCTTCAGGTCAGAAAAGGGTCCTGACTTGTGTTAATTAATAGGACAATAACACTCCCATATGACTGCTGGTTCTGCACCAACAGATAGATGAAAGATAGGATACCCTTTTCATTTCAGGCTTTTACCTCCTGCAAGACATATGGGGACATCAAGAAGCTTGATTAAGAGGTTTGTGTGGGCTTTCTGGAGCCCAGTGAGGAGAGTGGGGGCATGTCATGGATACCAGGAAGGACATAGTTGCAGGAAAGAGAAAATCTGACTCATAGCCTGCTCTTCATGGCAAGTTAAAACAACATGAACAGAAGGGTTTAGTAGAGGAAAGAGATAAAAAAGGACATTGCAAGGTAGAGCTGGGACAATCTGTCCCAGCCTATTTGAAAGAAATGGACACAGTGTTTTGTTGTAGGAGAAATCTATCCCTCTGACTTTTCTCCAAGCCCCTGGTCCCTTTCCAGAGTGCTGCTGCCTTCCTACTGAAACAGTCCTTTTTCTGCTACTATTATTTGGAAAGATGTGAATGCAGGGACACTGGCCACCATGTACTGTTTTATTTCCTGTTTGATAGCTCTGTACAAACTAATGTATCTGAAAAGCCATAGGCACTGGTTTTATATGCATAGCTGTACAGTGGGACTGAAAGACCACTTTCAATTGTTCTGTTGCCTTTTCTGGTAGGGACTAGTTCTGCTACACAGTGAGGGAAACTAAGCACATTGTTCTTAAATTTGCACACTCGTGATATGAGAATTAACTTTGCCATAGGGCTTGGTCATTGCAGCATCTTGAATAGACTAAGTTCCTCCAAAGTATAAACACAAGAAACTTTTAAGCCAAGTCCCCTGTTGCAGATAGCTTTTAGCTGTCTGTAGTCTTCTCTTACCAGAAGAGATTTTTTTTTCTACCTAGTTTTACACATAAAAGCATATTTTCTTCTTGATGTTAGGAATGCTAGGTTGAAGGTGGCTTGGCATTGTGGCACCCTTAAGCACAGAGAGCCTTTATGCCAATCCTTTCACGAATAAAAAGCACTCCAGACTCCAAATTTTGCACATAGGTACCCATTAATTACCCAAGTCCTTTTTTGTGCAAATGGGATGCAACTGAGAGAGAGGTTACTTCTAGCCAACAGTGTGGAGCTGTAGTGTGGTTTAGGCATGATATCACCATGGAGGGACCTGTAAACTAAGTTCAGCTGTTTGGCTGATTTTCATCTACGTAAATCCCTCTGTAAATTAATTCTATGGCCACAGCTTATAAACTTTACAAGAAAGCAGACTCAGGACTTGTTTTTCTTGTCAGTTTCAGATATTGAAAGTTAACTGTAGATGTTGCAAAAATAATCACTGGGGTTAGAGAGTCTATAAACTGCACTGCACAGACATATAAACTTCCAGTACTTTTTTCCTTTAAATACCAACTTTAGTCCACGCATTTTCAGAGTTTGCAAGTAACACACTCACACGTCCACACTTAAGCCCAAATAAAACCAGTCCACAGTTAAATCCTTGAAAAATGTGAGCATAAACTCCAGCAGTAAGTATCCAAATGAAATATTTATATGTACTAGACATCTTGTATCAGGAGGTGGTTCTCTTGCTGTTGTCATAAGTCAGCCCTTCGCTCCCTGTGTCTGCTTCAAATGCTTTTATCCCTGGGAGCACAAGGCTTGCTTCAAACATCCTGCTTGCTTGTCAGCAGGGTTGATGCACCGTATTATAACAAGCACTCACCACAACTGTTGTTCACAGGCAGCATTTTTAGCTCTACAAGCACAACCCACAAGATTGTCTATCAGCATAATCATTATTTATCCAAAGTTCTCCCAGTAAATTGAGCCTAACTAGTGTTTCCTGGGGGAAAATATGCAGAAGCTTTTATTTTATTATTGCTCATGTAGAGAAATCAGCATTTCCTCCAACAGTGGTAGAATGTGGACAAGGAATACACCTCATAGCTGTTGCATTGTTTCTCCTGTATGGCAATGGCTTACAGTCAAGAGCTTAACCTAGGATGAACTGGCAGAAACACAGCCAATAACTGTGCATTATTTACATTGTAGGCATACTTTAGTTGCACAGTTTTATCCTTAATGCTGCATCTCCCTTAGCTGAGAGACTTACTGCATTTAACTGGTTTGGTCAAAGCTGCTTCATGTTCCACAAGCAGTTCTCAGAGACTCCCCGGGGATCAGTAGCTCTAATTTCCATAGAGAAAAAAAGTGAGTCAGACTAGATATACTGTGTGACAGAAATGGGCAGCTGAAGCTTTGGAAAAGACTTATGATGTAAATTGAGATCTGTGTATATTGTCTGTTTGCAAAAAGAGACACTGAAACAGGTAGCTGTATACTAATGTAATTAACACAAATCAACAAATGCAATAAAGGAATTTAAATATCCCAACCCAATCATACAATTTTTTTTCTTAATAAATAGAAATTAAACAGAGAGTAAAATGTGGCAGGGGTGTTCCACCACAAAAACTATATCAAGTTGGTCTATGTAACTATACCAGCTCTCTAATATATTCTCCTTATCCTGTGCCTTTGTGGAAACTCTATTTTATAACTTAAACCATAATGGAGTTGGCACATTATTATTATTGTTATTATTATTAGTAGTAGTATTAGCAGTAGTAGTAACATTACATTACTACTATTATTATGAGCCCAACTTGTTTGGGTACCCCTACCTGTGAATACAATACAGTGGGATTTTTTTTATTCTTGTAACTCATGACAAATTTCTCATATAAAGGTTTGTTTGAGCACAAAAACTTCTAATTTGTGACTAAATTGTATTTCACGTCATGCTGAGAGACTTTATGAAAACAACAGTATTAATTAAAATAATAGCAATATCCATTTTTGTTTAATTGCAATGGCGTATTTTTAAATCAATTTGTTGAGTAATATATGAAATTACAGGTGATACTTGTATAATGATGGAATGGAGGTTGTGACATATCAATAAACTGTTTCTCACGATACTGTTAACATACCAATCCTCTCATCTCCTCCCCCATATCTCCTCCAGCTAAAAAATAATCAATTTAGGTTATTCTATATTCAAAAGCTGATTGATATAAATAGTATCTGCTCAAACATATACTATATTCTAATAAGGTTCTCAAGTATTGGCTTTAGTTCATTTTGATAAATATTTAAAGAACAATCCTAAATGTAAAGGCAATGAGTAGGGCAACAAATTGAAGTGTTGGTTGCTATTCTGCTATCGAGAATTTGAAAACTTTTGGGAGTTTTCTACTTATGAGGAAAGCATACCTTAACTTAGACATCTGACTTTCAGACATATATCTATCTCCACTTACTTGCTGTAATCTTTGCAGGGACCTCAGCATTTCCAAAAGGCAATTTATCCCACCTGTTTTGTCTTGTTGTGCAGATACTGTAAATATCTAACTTTCAATGACCAAAATAAGATTAAATTTATCCATCGTATTAGATATTGAGAGATATCCAAAATTGCTCTCATCAGATCTTTGCTCTCTGCAAGGTCTATTATATAAGATTATTGTCTGTTCACAAGGATCCTAAATAACCCTTAAAGGCTTTGATTTTTCACTGCTGCTGAACAGAGTACCTCTGATAGCTTCTCTCCATGTACTGACAATCAAAAGAGTTTCAAAACTCACTCTGTAACCTCTGGCTTTTTTCCTGAGACCCTAGGAAATACAACCACCCAGACATGCATAATTTTTGGCATATACTTGGCATATCAGTAAGGATTTCTTAAAATAATTGTTTATTCCTAATGATAATGTGAATGTTTTGACAAAAAGTTTATTGAAATGAAAAGCAATCCCTGAATTCTTTGCATATTTTATTTTTCTTTTGATTTCCAACTCACACACATCTGGCATATTTTACATGTTTGCAATAAAACATGGTTACAATAGCTTAAGGAATTTATATATCCAAAATATTTCACCATGATCCCAAGATGAAATGAACTTGTCTTCCAGATGTTCAATAGTCTCCCAATTCTAAGCTACGAACTCAAGATATTGCTTACAGACAGGTGATGAATAACTTAATCATTACGCTGATCCCCATGATTGCCGAATCTTATAAATACAAACAACAATGAAGAAGGAAATTTAGTGCTAAACTTACTAATACAAGGTGAATAACAAATAAGTAATCACATCAATAAATAATGATATGTTTCTGGTGCAAAGTGCCAATACAAAGAATCCATTATCTTTTTAAATAAATGACTGCAAGTGAGTGTAAATTCTGAGAAAATTACATTCCTGTTACATGCCTCATAGCCCTACCGACACAATATGTACATCTATGACAATACAGTCACCAAATATACAAAGAAGAAACATGAATTAAAGTGTATATACCCCTGGGTGTGTAATTTGATCAGTACAATGTGCAGAAAATTATTCCGATAATTATCATTACAGTATTGTAAAAGATGAAGTGCCTTAATCTGAGTGGCTTCAGGTGAGATTTTCAGAAGAACTGAAAAGAACAACCTCAGTCACCTTTACAATGAAACTAAGGCTCAGCTCCTTAGAGGACAAATAAGGTAAAAAATCAATGAGGGCTCTCTTGCCCGTGATTTGTAGGCCAAATATTAATAATCCAGAAGTATAGCACTTTGTCTGTATTGGGAGTCATTAAGCACTACAAAGCATTAAACTGAATTTCCCTCTTTGCTCCCTTTCTGTCTAGTTTTTGAATTTAAAAGGGAGAAAATTGATTTCTATTGTTTAAAGTATAAATATGGCAAATGATGGCTTTTTATCCAAATGCTTCATGAGCAGAACTCCACTTCATAGGGGTAAACTTTAGATTCAAAAAGTGAAAAACGTGTGGGTAGAAATGTCAAAATTACTGTTTGCTCCCAAATTCAACCCTTTAAAACAAGCTGTACCCTTAGGCAGATCTCCAGTCTGATTTGTGTGAATGCACCTGTTCCTTCAAGACACCAGGTTTAAAGTACATGCAAGTTGTAACTCCACAATAAAATTAAGAAACAGTTTTGTTCTTTATACAAGGTTTTACTTTTACAAAAGTATCCCTTTAAAGTTAAGATGTGCATCTGATGTACAAAGTATCAAACATATTTTTTTTAATCTCAGCTTGAAAAGAGGCTGGAGATGGGATGCATGTTAGGTTTAAAGCCTAAACATTGAAATAACTGGACACAAGATTCCCCAGAATTTTCAAAAGTCTCTTGTGGCGCATCCTACTACCTTTTCTCAATAAAGAAAGATATATGAAATAATTACCAAAACATTTCCTAATTCATATAATTTACATGATACAAGCTTGCTTCTCAGCAGCTGGTGTTCAGTTGTGAAAAAACACACAAAGTAAAATGGTTGCTGACTACAATGTACAGCTATTGCTGGGTGTAATGGAATGTACAACGGAGGTCAATGCAGACGTGGTTTTCCACCAGAGACTACACCTTTCATTGCAGCACTTGTGCTCTCAGCTTTACCTGGGCTTTCAGTTCTTCATTCAGTTTCAGTATCTGTTCTGATGTTCATAATGCCACCGGTTAAAATCTATGTTAAAAGCTACGATGCTTCCAGAAGCCATGCCAGTAATCAGAGTTCTGAAAAAGATAGCAAAGATGGTAATGTTAATTCTCCTTTACCTTCTTGAGGGATAGTTTATCATAAACAGTAAAAAAGCTAAAAGAACAAGGCACTTTTTGCAACACTTAAGATTAAGATCATGGGTGACGACCAAGTTTGCAATGGAGATGCTACATTTAGGTGTTGACATATGAGCCAAACTTCCATGTTGCCATTCTGGCCAAGGGAGATGAGAGGTCCATTCACTCACCTTCACATAGTTAAAATCAAAGAATCTTAGAATCATAGAATCCTGTTCCAACCTCCCTGCCATGGACAGGGATACCATTCACTACACCAGGTTGCCCAGGACCCCATCCAACTTGGACTCCTGTTCCAGGAGTGGGGCATCCACAGCTTCCCTGGGCAATTTGTTCCAGTGTCTCAGCATCCTCTAAAAACTTCTTCCTAATATCTAATCTAAATCTCTCCTTTTTTAGGTTAAAACTGTTCCTCCTTGTCCTATCACTACCTGTCCAAGTAAAAAGTTGCTCTCCCTCCTTCTTGTAAGCCCCCTTTAAGTACTGAAAGGTCACAATGATGTTTCTCTAAAGTTAGATCTTCTTCAAGCTGAACAACCTCAGCTCTCTCAGCCTGTCTTCATAGGAGAGGTGTTCCAGAATAATGTCATTTGAGATGCTCTCACGTGTCCTGCCTTGATTCCAGCTGCCTCTGCAGAAAGGTGTGGGTCTTCACTAGGTCCTTTGCCATGTGTCACCCAAGGCATGCACCTCAGACCACCGAGGTATCTCAAACAGTACTAACTGGCTATGAGTAGACAATCAAATTAGGCCCTGACCAGCACCTTCAGTGCAGCCTGAGATCAACTCTCTACAGGTCACTGGACATGTACTTTAGGATGAGCTTAATTGTCTTTTATATTCCACAGGCTGTAGCAAATAAATCACCACTTTTATTACAGAAACTTATTCCTCTAGCTCACAAGAAGACATCTGTGTGAAAACACTTTCATTCAGATGTTTTAGAACCCAGTTACATAATTGCAGGTATCTCATGATACTAGAGTGACCTAGGATGGCTGACATGTCTATGCTGGCTAGCAGCTGGGACACAGGACGTGGAGCTCTTCGCACGTGGGGCTGCAGCTGGGATCAGCTGGATATCCTAGGGCCTCCCAGACATAATGAGATGCCTCTGTGAAGATAACTGAACTGGTTCCTTAATCATAAGCTGATCACACCCTGGTACTCCTAAAAAGCTTCATATTGAAATGTAGCCCCAGATTTATGTTGTTTTGGTAGCAATAGTTGAGGTGATTCTCCAGTTATCCCATATCTAATTCTGGTAGCTTAGTTTAAATATTGGATAAGGTGTCTAGCACAACTTCTATGAAACCATACAAAAACCATCCTCTGCTTAATTATGTGACTAAAGTTAAGCAGGTCCTTAAAGCATTTTGTACAGATGGGGCTTCCCAGCCTTGTATTGTAAAAAGGGATGGAGAAAATAGGCTAGCTGGAATTTTTTTCAGTGTAAATAAATCCCTTTGAACAATTCAGAGTATATGATGTAAGTATAAACTGGCAAAGCTCTAGAAGCAAACAGGTTTCTTTCTGTAAGTTATTTTCAATAAGAGTAGGTTTGAGGCAAAAAAATTGTTTCAAGTCATCTGTGCATACCTGAGTAAATTAGATACCTATTTTGCTTAAAGGTGTTTTTGTTACTTTACAGAATGGATAGGAAAGCTGAAAAGTGTAAGAAAAAAATAACTAAAATGAACGCTGTACGATTTTTCTAATATCCTAGGAATTCTTTGCATGTCATGAGTTTGTATATTGATAAGGAATACAACACTGATGCATGATGCAAACAAAAAACCACTCATAACTCTGTATAAATGCAACATATAGGCTTACAATATAATCACAGTAGAAGACTGAGGGACTAGATGCATGCATCTTGTACATTGACTGTGGGCATTTCAGTGACACAGCAGTACTGCAAAAATCTAGGCTTGTACACTGCATCTCCATTGCTCAGGAAGGTTAAAGGAAATGACCATATTCAATCCTCATGGATCAATCCACTGATAATGTTACACATGGGCTAGATGCAACCCCAAGAGGTTCTCAAGTTCTACATGGCTGAAAATCAGAGAGGTACCACAAACTTTTTTAATTGTTTTTTTCAGGCACTGGTTAATAGGTACTATTGCACTCTGATCCAGTCTGACTATTCCTACGTTCTTCAGTTAATGAAGTTTTAGCCATATCTTGCTGGCTGAGTGTCTGCCTTACTGACTTCAATGATATAAGATCTCACCTTAATGTTAAGTGCTTGCATTATGAGACTCAAGGATCAGAGGAAGTGTTGAGTCAGATAAATCAACAAGATAACAACAGGGGTAATGGTTTTTTACATATCCTGTTAACGACTGCATACAATAAATTCATAACTTAAAGTTCATGAAGATGTATACTTTGTGAAATTTTAGCATTTACATACAAATATGAAAGGCAAATTCACCTCTGATCATGAGACAGATCCATAGCTCTTATGCCAGCATCACAGCCAGGGTAAATATAGAGCTGCTTGAAGTCACAGGCCTGCCATACTTCCACTACACCGTTGTCTCCTCCTGTCACCAGGTTCTGCCCATCACTGCTCAGCAGGATGGCCTTCAGGAGAAAAAGACAAATCCCAAGCACACAGTTAGTTTTTATGGATATTGTCTCAATATTAAAAAAAATCATATAAGTGTCTCTTATGTTTTATCCACTTTAAATTTCAAGAAAAAGAGTTCCAATCCTCTTTCTCCCCAGTCAAAAAACAAACCAAAAAATTTTGGATTTTAAATAAATCCAAATCCATTTTAAATAAAACAATTGTATGCTTTTAAACATGATATATAACAAAAAAGCTCTTTAGCTGAATCTGGCAATACTTGAGTGCAGCATTTTTACATAACATAGTTTGTTCTACAGTACTTGGTGCCATCACTAACATCTAAAGCAGAGCAGTGATCTGCATTCTTAATGCTGCTTCAATTGCTAGTGAGAGAGCAGAGTCCCGAATTCATGTCTTGGGTAATAAATGAAGAATGAAGACTTTTCAGAGCATTTTGTTTCAAAGACATATTTCCCACTGAAATTTAATTCCAAACAAAAATTCTAGGAATCGTGTGGGATCATAAACTATTTGTTCTTATTTATTCTGGAAAAGCTCAAGTGCATTTTTGTATTTGGACATGGTGATGAAAGAATATGTGTTTCAATGACTTAACCAGAAGGCAGCAATTTTACATATATGATTACCTCTAAACTATATAGCAAATAAATTCAATTTATTTTCATAAATAAAGATGACACACAAAAAATGTTTGTTTGCATTTAGATTTACCCTGGTTGAATCGTTGATCTCCATCTGAGCTAAGAGTTTGCCATTAATGCTGAAATTGCTGAACCGTCCTCGTTCATAGTAGATGATGCAGTGACCTTCACTAGATACTGAAATTAAGCGAGGATACAAGCAGTTTTCTGTTCCTTCCAGGGCTCTCAGCAAATCTCCAGTAATTGTGTGCACTAGGCAAGGACCTTCTGTATATGAAAACATAATATATCATACATTTTCTGCTTATACAAACTATATACTCTGTGCACAAAAGGAATGCATAATACACATTTATATCACATTAGTCCTGCATGTGATATGAGAAGCTCAATGTTTGCCCAAAGAATTTAAAACATGCAACAGGAAAGGAAATGTAAGAGCTAGCATATCAAGAAAATAGATACAACATGCCTATAAGTGGTAGTAGGTTTTATTGCTCTATCTCTTAAAATACTCTTTCCTGTTTCCAAGCGTTCAGAAGTCTCAGTCTTACTGATTTGCTCCAACAACATGAACTCTTTTTAGCCTGTCCAATCAAATTAAACAGATGGGGCTCTATCAGTGACTAGTAGAAGCAACTCCCAGAGGGCATATGATCGTATTACTGCATACTTCTCCTACAGACAATGGCAGTTCCTGTAGATCCTGTACCCCAATGAACATATTATGCATAGGTTTCAGTCCTGAATCGTTTTAGCAAAGGGAGTCATCTGATAGCCAACAGTTACAATGATACTTGGAGTATATGAGATTTTAGGACATCACACTATAACTCCATTTACTCCAGAGAGATTTTAATATGAGATTTTAATATTTTTTTATTACTGCTCATGAAAGAAATAAACAGCTATGAAAACTACAATGAACATTTTAAGATGCAAAACTAAGCTATTTCCATTTCAAGATTTTTGAGAAAAGCTCTTTTGAAAGAGAGATCTATATTCTCACTGAGAAAAAGAGTTTCTTCTGTGATAAATGTAATGAATCACACTAAATGCTAATTGTTGTCTTTTATGAATCACAGGATACTCCTGGGTAGCACAGCAATCTCTTCCTTATCCAACTGGCTTATGACCCTTAAAGTAAAATCATATCGTCAGACTGAGCCACCCCACATTAAGCCCTTCTAACTTCTCTGAAATGCGCACAGCAGCTGGTTTACCCAGGTAGAATGAATCACAGCATCAGTGACCTCATTTGTAAACCCTCTGAAAACATGATTTTATCTGTGTTTGCATAAAGTCTTTATGCAGAGGGACTGCGCACTGACTTATTGACTGTGTCCATGGGATACTACTGCAATGGAATTAACTTATTTTCTCAAATAGTTGAGTTTCAGCTTTGGAAATACTAAAGTGCCAGAATGTTACAAGAAGTGATGATGCCTCCACATTTAGAACAGTTACCTTGTTAGATTTTTCCAAAGAAAAGTGTAATACCCTCACAGCTGAGTTGTCATGGACACAAAAAGGCACATCTGATTTAGGACACTGTTGTAAGGACATACAGACTGACCACTCTCTTTTGGGTTTGTTGGGTAAGAACGTGAAAAAATCAACCTGACACACAGGATTTTACTCAGAGGAGTCCAATATTTGCTGTCTCCCTGCCTCAGCAGGTTCTCGAGTGCTGTGTGTGTTATCGCAGTGCTACAGCCAGCTCCGGAGGAACAGCTGCCCACCAGGAAGCACAGGCTGCACTCAGGCAGGATGGTAGGGCAATGCAGCTCTACCATGAGATACAACCTAAGAAACTGGAAAAGACTGGAAAGAACAGAACTGAAGAAGAAGCTTTAAAAAAAGCATCTCTTGGAAAACAGCAATAAAAAAAAAATTATTTTCTCTCTGCATTTTTTTATACAGACTAGAGTTTGAAGAGGAAGAACATGAGAAGAGTACCTCAGGAGACAGACTGGGCCTCAATTTCTCTTATCAATTACAAACATATTCTGAATTTGATTTAAAAGTCTTTGGTTCTTCATCAGCCTTTACCTCTAAAAATGTGTAAGTTACCAAAATACACATTTAATGAAGCAGAAGATAACAGAGTACAGATTCCATCTATTTTAAGAAGAGGAAATTTATAAAAAGATAGACTATAATTTATAAAAAGAAAGAGTAGGCTATTATGGCAGCAAGAGTGTATGAAGCTGCCTTAAAGGGTAAGAAATAGCAGTGCTGCAAGAGAAAAATTTTAGGATCAGCATCACTGTACATTTTTTTCCCAAATGTCTTGACTTTGCCTATGACTGTTATGCAGTATGCCATCATGACAGTTAATGACCCATTAGGATTTCCTGTTAAAAATGGCCTTACTCAAAAGTTTCACACTCAGCTTTGAAAATAAATGTTGAGCTCCAAGGCAGTATAAAAAAAAATAACCCAGGAGCTCAGATATGAGCAAAAGCCAGTAGAGCAAGTATCACCTTCTTCTTACCCTCAGAAGTAGCAAACTTTTGAAAAAGGAGTACAAAGATATCCATGGGGATGAATAAAACAGGCATCACTGTAGACAGAGAAAGCAAGTCACTAGATGTGGATGTAGGAGTAGAGTGGAAATGAGACAGGAAAATAAAAAAGGAACCTTAAGGAAGGACAAGGGTAATGTATAGAAAGGAAATAAGAAGGGAGAAGAGATGATGTAGCACAAAAGAAACTAAGAGAAAAGGGGGACGAGGGAGATGCAAATAGGAAAGGAAAAAAGACATGCAATTTGACAAATTAAGAAGTTGAATGAGAGAGAGCAGTGGGGGAGAAAAGTGGACTTGGAATTAATGGGGAAGAGGAGAAGATGAGTAAAACAAGTAAAATATAACAAATCAAGGAGACACAGAGTAAGGAAGGGTGAAGCAAACACTCACTGAGGCTGGTGCTTTATTTACATTGATTACCAGTTATACAGGAGACTGCTGCAGATTTGGAAAGGACTTCGAACACTTGCATTAGCAATTTTTGGGTGCTTTGGATTTCATACATAACAATGAGAAAGTATGAACAGATGACTGAAAAACATTAAGAGAGACAACAACAAACCTGCAGTGCTCATTATTATTTAGAAATCACTGCAAAAAACCCCCTACTGGATAAAATGTACACAGATCCAAAGCCAAGCAACCGGATCCTGCTGCCCTGGAAAGTGAGGTCAGTGCTAGAAACTACCATTCATTTAAGATCAGAGTGGAGAACTTGGAGTTAGACCTCCCCAAAATACACATCTCCATATATAGGTTTCTCAAAAATCACTAGATGTCATTAGAATTATTGCATACATTTCTATAAAATAACCTTTCAGAACTGGGGGAATAGCTGCAAAGACTAATGGTTGGAAGGAATGAACAATTTACTTTGTATCTCAACTCATAAGTACAGATGGTAAGTAACAATTTTCAGAGTAAACTGCTTCAGATTCCCCCAGAATTACAACACGTCTTAGTAGAGATTACTTTGGATGATTAAAGTATATGTGGTGTGCAGAAAGTCTGAGAAGTCCCACTAAAAAAGACTTTAAAAATTTAAGACTTAAATCATAAAAACATTTCTGACCTTTAGCACCACTGATAACAAGTCCCAGCTCTGCACAGACTGACACGCAGACAACTTCATGGTCGTGGCCAGTTAGAACAGCGCGAGGAGCTGGATAATCACCTGTTAAAGAAAAAAAAAGTGAGAAGAACAAGAAAAAGAAAACAACAGGGAATGCCAAATCAGACCTGGTTTATCAACAAAAGAACTTCGCTATAATTTGCTTCAAATCAGTAAGCATCAAAGGGAGGTGCAGTGGGATTAAACATCTCATACTTAGCACAATGAGCAAAATATATTCAGGTAGCATAAAGTGTCATAAGAACAACTTTCCAATGCATTAATAAATTAATTAAAAGAACACAAAGTGTGGTAGTATTACAAACAGCTGTAATGTAAATGTTGAACCTATATGTCTTCAGACTTCTGCTATGAACCTAAAGAGTAGTATGAGTTGAGGATGTTCCTAATATTAATGATCGTAATTTTTTTCACAAAACTGGGGGTAGGAAGAGAGGACAAACAGCACTGTACTAGAAACTATACTATTGTATAGATAATATTGATTCAGAGACACGGGGAATGCTTACAGACTAAAATATGTGTAAAAATGTTTATGCGTATATGCAATTTTAGATACATCAATATGAATACCTATGCCATTTTTATCACATTAAATTTATTAGAGAATAGGATAGACTTCTCCCTAAATATTTATTCTTTTTATTCAGGATGAAAATGAATTTTATTTGAGGTTCAAACAAGTGGGCATTTATGGAGTGTTTATATGACAAACAGCAACATTTCTGTTGTTTCTAATAATAACAGATGCTCAGTATTTGATATTGCTTTGCCAGGCAAAGCAAGTCAATTGTGAATAAAAAATTAACAACTTGCTGGATAATACAGAGTTCATCTGGTTATATTTACATTGTACAAATGAAACACAGAAAACTGGGACATTCCAAAGGACTGGAGTTCTGCCCATGTAGTTGAAATACCTAAAAAGGACAAAAGAAATTACCTAGGGAACTACAGATAAATTACTGTAACATTAATTCTATGCAAAATAACAAAATGGTTTATCCACAGTTCTGTCAAGAAGAACTGGAAGTAAAAATCTCATTAATACTAGTCACCGTGCTGTATAGAAAATGGGAGTCTTCTTATCTGATTTTGATAGGATGAGGGGTATGGTTGATAAACATGGCGATGTTAAAATGGGCTCTACGTATTTTTTCCCAAGATATTTGTCTTAGTAATATAGTGGTTTGATATAAACCAGTTTTATATGGAACTGACTGCGGACAACATGGATGGCACAGAAGCTGGTTCATTGACAGATCTTCAATTTTTTTCCATAGAGAGGTGTATACTATGAGCTACATATAAGTAAAATAGGGTGTGGATTAGAGTGTGCAGTTAGGAGCTGGAAATTGATTCTTGATTGAACACTAACCAGTAATGTTATCTAAGGGATAATATAAAATCTTTGCTGGTAAGACATGCTTGTAATATAAAACTGATGCAAAGTTTGAATGACAAAGTTGAAGCAAAGTTTCAAAGTTTATCAATGACAAGAGAAAGCCATTATTATATCATTCTCTGCATTGCCTAGGTAAATAAAAAGGTAGCAAAATGTGTTGTATATATTTTCAATGCAGCCAGGTGGAAGGTCAATTTTCCTGGACAAGCATAAGCTCAGTTCACTGGAGAGAGATTCTGTTCTGGAACAAAGTGATATAGAGAAGAATTTATGGAGCCAGAAAGGAAAACTCCCTCAACATGAACTTTCAGTGTAATACCTTCGCATAGCAAATAGGAGGCAAGAACTCTTTTGTCACTGTAGACCAGAAAGGTGAAAGTCTTGTATCCAAATTTACAGAAATGAGCTTAAAGGAGAGTCACACAACTGATATAGAGAACAAGACAGGAGGCTGCACAGTGTTTAAAGTGTTTTTTCTCTTCACTGCATAGGCAGCAAAGCAGTGACTTGACTACTGTAACTGGGAGTCATGGTCATAAAAGATGACCAATAGCCCAGAAATTTATCTTGCAGCTAATGGCATAGCAAGGTCCACTGGGGGAATGGCTGCGCACATTTCAACTCTAGAATAAAATGCAGTTTTCTAACTGGAAATATACTTAAACACTAAAACAAATTAAAAAGGGAACTACCTGGGTAGCTAAGCAATATGGCATAGGTTTTTGAAAGATATGCATTAGGAATGGAGGCTTGGATAGACTTTTGTGGGTCAATGACTTTATTTTTTTTTTATTGTAGACACTCACATCATATAAACCAGTTAATAAATTAATGAAATGGCTATCTGGTACATGACTTGGAAGGATGTTTCAGACTTTTCCTACTCTAAAGGAAAGAAATAGTCTGAATTTCAGATTGAATTTATTCTTGTTTCTTTATTCTAGTATCTCTTTGTTCTTTTGTTAGCATTGTCCTTTACCTTCAGGTCTTCTCCTTCTCTAGTGTTTTCTCCACTTATGTACTTAGAGAATAAATCGTCCGTCTTGGTCTTTCCTTTTGATTCGATTAAAAAAACTCCTTTGAAGGGATGGGCTTGCCACTTTTTAGCCATTGTAGCAAACCATTTCTGTGCCTGTCTAGCTTAAAGTTCTTGCTTAAAATTTGGGTAGCCAGAAATGTATAGAACAATAATTCTTGAAAATTTAGCATGAATCTAGAGTATTTCTTGTCAAATCCTAACATCTCTTGTCATGAAAATTTTAATAAAAATTCCATGTATTTTAATATCTTTCTGAATAAGCTGAATGCTAGCAACCATGGATTTACTTCAGTTTTGGACTTAGTGGTAGAGGTTGCTTCAATCTTACTGGTCTTATTGTTGCAATGTACATACACACTAATACTTTCTTACCTCTAATCCAAACAGCTACCCCAGTAAGTCCTAGTTTTCCAAACTTTAATCTAGATTGCAATAAAAGTTTCTTTTTGGTCTGGAAACTGGAGATGTGAACTGAAAACTGAGTTCTACTGCTAGGGAAGGATGGATGTTGGAAAACAAAAGAAAACTATGCTTTTTCTATCTCATAAAAGATGGCTACATTTTGAGATTCAGATTTTTATAATTTCCCCATCAGCATTGCTTTTGAGAACCCCATCTCCTTTTAAGGTTTTGTTTTCTCCATGTGCATAGCAGAAAGAGAAGAAAACAGCAATTAAACCAAATTCAGAATTTTCCACTTTTTTCTTTTTTTTTTTCCCTTCTTTGTGTCCTCCTAGAAAAAAGAGAAATTGTGCTCAAGGGCCATCTTGGCTTAAGATCTGATTACAGAAATGTCATCAGACTGCATCAAATTGAATGAATCAAATTATTATGTGGTTAGAAATTTTTTAAAAGAAAAAGAAATAATGACATTTCCAAAAGGACATTTTCCTCAGTGTTTCCTAGGAAAGCACATCATGGAACTGTAAAAATTCTGGATACACAAATTAAGCATATTTAATTGACTTATTTTTTTATAAAGGAAAATGTTTATAAGAAATTACTGCCCTGAAACATATATCTATAAGCCTTGTTTTGTCTTGTTTTTCAGTAAATACAAATTAATAATGGAATATCATTATTAGACATCATCTCATACATTATTAGCAGTAATTGAAAATGGGGTTTTTTCCCCTTAGGGCTCAAAGAAAAAATTATTCACTGATACTTTCTACAGAAAAAGCTGTGGCATGAACCTCAGTCATATTACATTTTATTCCTAAGGACAGAACTTGTGAACTCCAGGAATCATTCAAAATCTAGCAAAATATTCTGTCATTGTCACATCACCACTGACAGATGCAGCCAAAGGTCAAAGGCTGCAGCTCTAAGGGAATTGCAGGTGAAAATATCTTACCTAAGAACTGAGATACCATCACTGTAAACTCCCTGTAATTTCCCCAAGGGAGCACCTTTGAACTGAATTTACTAGAGGGCAAAGGAAAAAAATCAGCACTGTATTTCCAAACATGTAAGTTTTTTTACAAAGTCTAAAATAAAACACATCTTCCCTTCTCACTGAAAAATATAACGCTTAATACTATTGTCAGGTTTTTTGTGAGCAAATAGTGCTCTTGCACGGTAAGGAAAAAAAGAAGAGGGAAAGAAAGAGAACAGACAGTGTTACTATTTCTCTCTTATTGTCCTTTTACAGGAATTATATACAGATTGCCATGGGGACAAATCTAGGAGTCTTCTATACAAAAAAAATGAGACCACAAGGCAAATTCTAACTTCCATTTAATCTCTGACTTTGACAAAAGCAAGTACAAGGCTACAGCTGAATTACTTGCTGAAAATAATTTACTTTACTATTTGCTTTACTGTTAGGACTTTTGAGGGGATGCTTATCAGAAAAAAAAAATCTTAGAAAGTACTATGGCTTTCATGGAAGTGAAAATGTAATAGCCTTCTTGAATATATACTGTGAAAAAAAAACCATACTGGAGTTTGATGAAAAGATAAGGCTACAACCGATGTCCACAACATGAGGGAGCAGTGGGTGTAAAAGAAAGATTGCTGACAGAAGAATATTAACATATTCAGAATATTCTCAGCTCGGGCTAAGAAATGCTAGCAGCAGCATTGCATACAGCTACAAACCATTCACCTGGGTGAGGGGACTTTCGGGTACCTTGCACCAACCAGACTCCAAAAGGAAAGACATAGTGGAGGACAGAAGAGTGTGAATCTGTAGCATCTCTTCCTATCACTTCCACTAAATAGCTTTGGGAACTTCGTCAAGATGCTGAACCACCCTGCACTGTACAGTTCCTGTGGAGTATGCAGCAAAGCATGGGCACAGATATCTGTTGATAAAATACTAGAGATAACTGCCTTAGCTCAGGTGGATTATTGGCTCATTTACTTTTACATAGCAGTCCTAGGAGAGAAATGTCTTGGCTACCAGAGTAGAGACAGTGCCAGTAAAAACTACAAACTAGTTTTCAGAGAGATTCTACTCTGCCAGAACAGTGCCAAGATACTATATTTTAAAAATTATTACTTAAATTGTACAAATGTACAAGTGCCATAATAAAATAACTCTTTACGTACATGTGCCCATGTGCTTGTGCAGGACCTTCAGACAGCCATCCA